TATGGGTCCAAACTGGAGCAATCCTCAAGATTCTACCAGGCGAGTTGCTAGTCATGTGGTTTACACTTGAAGGATCTTGAAGGTATTTGTTGTATTGGTCGTATTGGCCATATTGGTCGTACTGGTGATATCAGGAAACACTGTGGTCACCGTGGGGATGGGAATTTGTCGGTACGAGACGCCGCAGGATGATGGCAAGCCCCGGAAGGTGCCATGCGAGTCGCTGCGCATCACCTACGAGGTGCTGGAAGCACAAAAACAACAGGGAAACATTGACCACATGATCTCAAATGATCTCAAATGATCTCAAATGATCTCATTTCAGTCTCATTGATTTACCAGTTGCATTCAGGCTTGAACCTGAAGTAAACCTCGTTACTCGTCCTTTCCTTGACCACATATTTGCTCATTTTATTGGTTCCTTGTTGAAGCAATAGGAGTGCAATGATAGTAAATGGGTGAAGAACTGCATTGTCATCAGTGTCGCTCATGAAGCAACACCCAACAGTTTTGACTGGATAGGTGCCGATAGATTATCCATGTGGTATCTGCTGCTATTCCTTTCAGCTCCACCCCTCAGTGGTCATGGTGCCTTAAAACTGCCCCATCCCTGTAGAGGTTGGTTATCACCTCATTTGTGTCATAGACGTGTCTACGCACATCTACATATGAATGTACTTGAATATATGATAATATAATTATATATGTATATGCAGAGATATTGCATTAAGAGCACATTCATGACGAGAAACCCTGTTCAACCATGGGGTGACCCTGTCTTCAGTAAAGACTGACAAAAACAGCACATAGACCCTGCAGTCAGGGGATTCGCAGGGAACACTGTTTCGTTGCATCATCAGGACCCGTTGACCCATGTGCATCGGGCAGAGGCGGGAACTGGTGTTGAGTTGACTGGCAGGGGTGTCGAGCTGCTGTGATTCATGAGGGTAGGAGAGTGTTTGATGACAGATCCTCAATTTGAACGTTCTTCCTCCAATGCCAAACAGGACTTCAGTAAATTGCTGACACGTGACAGAGGTTTCTGCACCCGCAACCCAAGGAAGGCGACAGATTCTCTGGAGATTCAGCTGTCCCCAGGAAGTGTTTCTGGACCCTCGTGACCTCTGGTCCCGTGGCCAAAGTTTACTTCTGGTGAGTCTGGCACCCAGGATAGCGGTGGGTTGGGAGGTGAACCATGCTGAAGCCGTGTTGAACTTTTAAAATCTTTGAGGCACCATGTGGTTGGATAACATGGATGAATGGTGCTGCTTAGTTGGTGGATTTCCGGCAATGGCCTAATGCATAGTGGATGTTCACTGGCAGGCCTGCTTTGCGAACAGGTCCACAACATGTTTTGTACAGTCAGAGCATCATAGAATACGCAGTTCCATTGACGAATGGCCATGTTTCAACACTTCGGCCGGTTGGCCTCCGAGCGGTCAAAATTCTCTCGCTCGGTCCGCTTGATCTTCTGTCGCTTCGTGCGGATTAAGCGCATTTGCTGTGAATAGAAAAGACACAGAACGTCATTCCCAAAAGACATGAGAAAAGATGACAGCGATGTTGTTGGCTGATGAAGTGTGTAGAATGCCCCTTCCTGTCCCCACCCCTTGTACTCCTTCCCCCACCCCTTCATGTTTGTGTGTTTGTCTGGCATTCTCCCGTGTGTCTGCACTAACTGACGGGATTTTGTCTGCACTAAGTAGATCGTTGACCCCTTGGCCCTATGAGACGGAAGATTCTCGTAATGTTTCATCCCGCCTGAGCTACATCTTTGTTGTTATCTTGCAGCAGTTCCTATGCTGATGCACCCAGACCCCACTCGCAATTCAACTGGTTTTTCTTGAAAGTTCTCTAGGTATGACCTTAGTTAGCAACCATATTTATGTTCTTTCCGTTCTTCTAATAATGTCTAATTATATCTAATAATGACTGGGATGATAGTCAGATGATACAATCGTTTTTTGCATCAGATCAACCCTCCCCCGGGTCGTCTCCGGCCCAGATGGAGCCTCATTGGTGGCCTTGCAAGCCAAGTCTGACAAGGACAGCACTGACCAGTGCAATGGGCCAGGTAAATCCAGTCTCAGCACATTTCAGTATGTTTTCAGCCCAATCGTTGGGTCTGATAATAAATTTATTAACATATTAAAATTAAACTTTTTATATAGCTATTTCAAGATTTTCAAGCAATGATGATGCGGAATGGTCAGCAAGTCTTCAGTGAAGTGGTACCAGCTGACCGAGGAGCAATCCTTTGCACTGAGCTCCCAAAGCGCCACAGAGCGGTGTCGTAGGCTCCTGATGACATCCGTTTGATGGAACATGGCGGGTCATGGCGGGTCGCTCAAACTTATGGAGCCCTGCTCCAACCCGACACGCTGCAGTTATGGTCCCTTTTCTACATAATTCTCAGCACTCCAAAATGATCGTCCAAAATGCAAAACTTAACTATCAGCGGCTATGTCATAATGTGGTTGGGAGAGGTTGGGCGAGGAGCCCGATGTTTGAGGTTTCAAACTCACAGTGTTTCGCAGCTGCCAACAAAAACTGCAACTGGCGGCCAATTTTTCAGTCGAAAGTACACAGCTAGAGATTCAGTTCAATTCAATTCCTAACAGTTACTCCAACAGTAACTGTAACAGTTACTCGAATTGATTTCTAAACAATTCAAATCAATTAAAATCAATTAAGCAACTTAATGATAATGAAAGAGTTAGTTCATACTTCAAGCCTTCAGTCTCCTTCAGCACCGTGGTCACTGGGGTCCAGGGACTACCTTCGGGAGCAACGACTACTCCTGGACGAGCTGGCGAGACTGTTGGAGTCGCACGCCTAGTAACTTTACGCCAGCTTTATGTTACTTTATGATCTTTATGTGACTTTCGTGTTGGACTTTTGTTGCTACTTTAGAATCTCTAGATACTTTAGATCTCCCACCACAACATAAGTGATTTCTGTGAATAGTTTTTAATTGATTTTGAATGCTTTGAATGTTTTCAAGTTGAAAGTACATGAAAGTACCCAGAACGACCAAAGGCCGACTCTTGCAGTGGCTATTTGAGTGAGCTAACGCGGACATCGACATTTGAAGCAATTTGTGTGTTGATGTCGGTTTAAAGTCCAAACATCAGAAATACATTCTGTTTCAATATGTTTGAATATTCAGGAATACGTTTGAAGTGGCCACGTGAACGACCTGGCCGGCGCCATTGGGCCATGGGGCAAGGAACCGAGGGCCCTGACATCCTGAGGTTGGACTTGAACATTCCCAGGGCCATGCAGGAGGAAGCCATAGAAGTCATCGAGAAGGTGGGATGATACAAAATGAATCAAAATGATACAAAGGTGATAGATATGGTGATAGACATGCGCGATTCTCATCTCTGGATCCGGAAATGTCTGAAATATCTGAAGCATCTGAAATATCTGAAATATATATACCCTCTACCACGAAGTGTCTTAGATCCCCCCTGGGGATAAATCCCAGGGTTCTAGAATGGGGATCGCGCGCAATTCTAGACTCTAGACCTTTGACCCTCCCCCATTGTAGACCTTTGGAGGTTTTGATTCCTGGAATTGTTTTTTTTTTTATGTTGTAATTTGCTACTTCCGCCCACCTCGGATATTTATGGATCATGTGGAAGATACCTGGAAGCCTGGTGCCCATTGTTTTGGGAACTGTCCAAAGTGCCCGGAATTTTGGTTATTGGAAAGTGTACCATCTTTGGAGTAGGATTTCTACGTGTATTTATGGCACTCTGCGGGTATTTACGGCACTTTTAAGTCTTGCCGAACATGGTGCGCCAAAATACGTTAAAAACCGTTCGAGGGCGCCAAAAGATGTAGTGCCGTTTTTATGTGTAAGAAGGTTTATGTTCACATGGGCCATGGACCATGGATATGAAATTATCGCTTTGGCGGCGCAACTTCCTGAACCAAAACATGCAAAGTGCATAAACGCGGATCAAAAAAAAACAGGATGCCAGGTACCATTCACCAATGCAACAAGAGGTCCTGAAATGATATCAGCCAACTCATTCTGTGGCTTTATCTTCACAAGGGCCATAGATGTGGACTTAGACCCCCAATCCTGCAAAATCCCTGAACAAAAACGGAGAAAAACACTTTGATTCATCAACCGAAAGGTGTTGGGTGCCAGAAAGTTCTTTTTAAAACAGATTAAGACATAGTTAAGATTATTTGAAATATTGCCAAAAATTGTCTTACGACGCTTTCCCTTGATAACTGCATCGAAACCTTAAGTACTAATCAAAAAATGAAATGATCGTCAGGGACGCGAATAATAAACAGCCCCAGCCAATCAGTTTTTAGTATTAAGATGAACCCTCAAATGGGGATCTTGACCCTTAAAGTTGTTTTCTAAAGGCAATTAATTAAAGATAAAATTCACCAACCTGAAATTTCCCGAAAATGACAATCTGGATCTTTTTTGATTTAATAGAACCCTCTCAAAACGAGCTGCCAAAGGTCTAAAAGCAATTCGTTGATCGCCAGGCCCCCCCTGGGAAAATCATTTCAAACACCTTTTGGGGGGTCTAAAGTCTTCCTCAAGGGTCCCTGCCCGGGTATGGAAATATCTGAAATATTCTGAAATGCTGACTTGCAAATGATTCGCAATGGACATCCCAAGTTTTACCGTGTTCTTAGCATTTGTTTTTTTACATTTCCACAGCCACATTTTTTTCAGGCCATGGAGGTGGCTGAACAAGGGCCAGACGAGTCCCAAATGGTGCCGAAGCAAAACTGGGAGATGGGATGCGATTTTGATCGATTTTGATCGATTTTGATCGATTTTGATCGATTTTGATCGATTTCAATGGTGGTTTGATGTTGTTTGATGTTGTTTGTGGTTGGGAATGTTGGGGATTATGAGGCATCCTGTGACTTGTAGCCTTGTCATTCGTAGGTGATTGCAAATCCAGGGTGTACTTCAGGGATCTTCAGGGTATATTGGATTTGGTCAATATCCGGTGACAGTCCCGAAATTCCCATCATATGAGCCTTTAACAACTGATGGTCCACTGCTTAGCTGCACATGGGGATGAACAACCTGAGGATATAGCATGGTGCCAATCTCCGCGGAGCTTCGTTGCTCTTAAGTTTTCTCAAACTTTTATGTATTTTACATAGAATACAAAGTTCTATAATATTTTCCATCTCATGTTCCATCTCATTTTGCATCATATTGCGATTTCTCCGGTGGCACCTGCGACCTATCGGCCAAGGTCTTTTCCGAGGTGGACCAAAGGCGCGGATACCCTTGGGGCGGCCATTCACCGACTCGCCAATCAATTCAACTAACTAACCATTCTTCAATTGTAACATGTAACATGTTGAAAGGTTAACTTAAGGTTAAAATTGTAACATATTGCCTTTGCACTGAACTCGTGAATCAACTTATTTCGCGTTCCCATGAAGCCTCTATTACGAAACATTGACCCGAAAATATGATAGCTCATCCCTGTCCATATTCTGGAAGCGAAAGGGCGCGAGAGGTTCGCAAGGGCAATTTTGGGGATCCACAATTTTGAACAAACCCGAGCTGACTAATCAACATATTACTTTTCCAATAAACTCAGGAATTAACCCACTGCACCAATCAACCCACAAATCAATGCACTGGCTCATTATCAACTGTATCTCTCTGGCATTGCCTGCGCAGTGGCGGTGTGTTTCACAATCCAAGGTTGAAACTGCTGCAAATGCTGTGCTTCCCACCCGTCCATTTGTCCGTCCGTCCATCCGCCCGTCCGTCAATCACACCACCTTTTCCTGCAGGCTTTGAATTTGCCCAAAGCTCACATCCGACCCGGATGTTTCTGGAATGCCACATGACCCATTGTCATGTGTTTGGTTGGTACCATCCATATTTTTCCTTGAAAAGACCAGCTGCCCTTTCTAATTTTTCTCATTCCATAAGATAAGACAGTCCATTTGTTGATGGGTGCAAGAGTCCAAGCCTTGCTATATTTCCTATGCTTAGCTCAAGATCGCTCAAGATCAGAACATAAGCGGAGCTTTGCACTGTCATGGGTGATGAAGTTATCCAGCTTATGGCACAATAGCAGCACGAAAGGTTGGCAGTCGAGTACTATGTGAGGAGCTGAGTGAATTGGTCCGGCACTGTGTCTTTGTCCCAGTTCTGAGACAAGATGCCCAACGCCCTGGCATTTCTTGACTTTTTTTGGACTGACAAATCCACCTCCTCATCCAAGTCTCTAAGTCCCCTGATCGAATCATCCCAACATATCAAAACATATCAGAACATGTCAAACCTATTCAAACCTCTAGGACACTGCCACTGGAGCAACTGATCTTTCAATTGCCTCAGGTGCCACCCAACGATGCCGACGAGGAGATTTTGAAGAATCTCCAGAAGGTGCAGAAACAGAGCCCCTCGCTGGATCGAACTGAACCATGACATCCATGACATCAATTCTATTGCTATATTGCAGCTATATTGCAGCTATATGCAGTTATAGCATGCTGTAGCTTCCCAAGATTTTCCCAGTTGCTTGAGTTGTTTGCATCAAGGACGTTAGGACGTTAGGATGTCCTGCAGGCCGAAGTAGAGTTGGGCGATGAGGTTTGCACCCGGCTCTTAGTGCAGAAAGTGCGAAGTGCCAGGGAAGCCTGGAGGGATCACAAGTAGGGACCACAAGGGACCACGAGGAACATGGGAGAGAGTGGGGAGTTCGCGATCCAACGCTTTCAGAGACTTTCCACAACATGTCGTACCTTTGCAACATATTGCAACATGTAAAAACACTATCGAAGTGGATGACACCAGCCTGTCACACCAATGAATCAGCAGAACATAACAGCATCGATTTTAACTGACGTTGACACATTTCATTTCTGACATCCTTTTCCCAGATATGTCCACCAAGAAAAGGAAAAAGGATGAAAAAGGCAGATTTCCAAGTGCTCGGCTTAGATCAATGCTGAGCACCTCAAAAAACGAGCCGGAAGCTCAGTTGATGACTCTTGATGACTCAGTTGATGTGCGATGCTTCTGGTCTTGGCATGGCAATGGATCCGTGGAAAACTCATGATGTCATGGGCCTCATGGGTACAGTTGGCTTTAATGATTTTAATGCACGGGCTCTTGGTGGCGAATACAAATAATACAATCACCAGACATTTCTTGAGGCCTCATGATCTATAAATATCTAGAACATCAGAAACATTTTAGAACAGGATCTGGTGTTCAGCAGTTTCAACATGTTTCAACCTGTTTCAACCGAGTTTCAAGCTGTTTCCACCAAAATTCCAAGCAGGTCCAAGCACTTCTGTACTTCCATAGGAACAGATGCGGGAAATGCTGGATGAACTCGCTGGCAGCCCGGTGGCCCATCGTGCCTGTAGCCACCTGTAGCCAGCTTGGCAAGCTTGGCATGTTCCAACGACGGAGCTAAGCAGCAAACTGCAGGAAATTGTTTTTTTTTCCATTCTTTGAGGAAAAAAGTGCCATGTCTTTGAACTGTTTTGTTGTGCACTTCCTGGGTGTTATATGAGTTGTTCTGATTCTTGGGAGGGATCCGTGCGTGAGGTGATTTTGCCTCTGATAGTGGCCCACGCGACATGGAAGGTGCTGGTGACCGCTGGTGGGAAAATCATTGAAAATCCACTGGGGCCGACATGGAATCACAGAAACCAGGTTTGGAAGATCTTTTGCCCCATTTATAGGGCATCTTTGGGTCGACTCTTGACTTCATATCGGAGTAACTGTCTGATCCTCTACATACAATGACCTGAGCACTCTCATAAGACTTTCACTCTACTCTACATACATGATCTAGGTGTTCACATGTG